AACATGGGGACCCCTCATTTTTATTTCAAAATTTAAGTTCCTATAATATAAACAATCAATAGGCAAAGTTTCACAAAAATCTCAGTGTAGGTTCTATTTTAGTGGAATGACCTTAAAAGGTTTTGGAACAGTTATTTTGGTCGACAGCTACAAAACCAATTGAAAAACGCTATTGCCAGATCTAAAGCCACTAACATTAGATAATCAGAAGACCTTACAGAGTGTTACTTCATCTTTAGATTTTTGGAATGAGGGAATTACTGACTTGTCAGAGTCCTAATAACCAAGATGTGAATGGTGCATTATCAACCATGTTAAACAAGCAGTTAGTAGAGGCCAAGTCAAGTGACGAATATTCCTTTGTGGCAGCCATGTTCAGAGCTTCCGCATTTCTTGTCACTTCGAAAGGTACAGAAATAGCAAGGAAATAATATGAAGTCGTTCTCTGTGGTTTTCATATCCTACCGTATCCTTTACTGACCCCGTGAGGCGGACGACCTTTTTTTCCCCGATTCGGATACTGAAAGCTATCGTAGGGAAGAACTTTTGCCCTTGCTCTTGAGTATTCGCCGGAATTTGAATAGCTTCTTTACTCCACTTATTTTCTTATTTTCAAAATCTTTCGTTGTTACATGTTGGCATTTTTTATTAGAAAAATAATAATAATTAAAAAAAGACGTTATTTGCTGGTTTTCATCGATCCTTATCGAGAGAAATTTGGCCTTGTACTTGAAATGAGCCTACGACCCCGGGCCGTACGCACAAGACCTCGGCAAAGTCTTTCTCGATAGCGACCTCCCGCTGGCAAATAACATATATATCTTTAGATAAGAATGATAACAATGTGTTCACCAATGGATTAAGAAGTCCTAAAGTTGGATTTATGAACATAACCTTAATCAGTATAAATTTTATTATGCTATCGAAAAGCGATTTTCAAACGTTCGGGCGTTACAAGATTACTAAAGATTACTATTTAACCCCGTCTCAGGTGTTGATCGTGAGTTGCTTCATAATGTATGCTGGTGCCCAGCTGATCTGTTCACTGAACTGTCCATGTCTACTGCTGTGTCGTGCTGGGAGTGGATCATGGGAGCCAGGCAAGACTTGGAACTGCCTGTAAGTCAATGACAAACGTCTGTCTCCTGTATTTCTTCTTTGAATGTAAATGCCTTATCAAGGAGATAAGGGATTGGGGGAATAAAAGAATCATGATAAGACGAGATTCTCGTTTCACCACCAGCAAATTCACAGAATTTGTAACATTAACTGAAGGTGCGGGGTTTCTTAAATAATAATTTTTATTTTAGAGTTTTCTAATGTCTCTCTGAAACTAAAACCAACGAGATCGTTTTGACCAATCACAGCAAATGTAAGAAACGCGGTCCACCAATCAGAACTGGAAATAGAACATGCAACCGGTGCCAAGCGCGGGAAAGAGTCAAATCGGTTTAAAACGTGGAACCAGTGAAAAGCGCGGGAAAACTTGTAACCGACGCCAAGCGCGGAAAAACGCGGGAAGCCAGGTCGCGATTTGTCCTGGTGTCACTCCTGATTGGTTGTGGTGCCCAATATTTTTAGCCAATTACAGAACCTAAACATACGCAAAGCCAAATTAAACTATAATAACATTTGGCAGTCACTATTATAACAGCGGTATTCTTGATTATTCAGTGTAGTAATGTCATAAATTTTCAGCTGTTGAGTAAAATCAGCGCAGCTTGGCAGTGGACTGTTTGCCGTCGCATTGGTTTATTTGCGGCAGACTTGAAAGTCGAAAGTCCGCTAGCAGCTTTCTCTGACAGTAGATCCCCACCCACACCCCCTAATGTTGCTCCGCATGACATCTGGATCAAGTTCCTGGCGCGAAGGTTTCAGGTCATCAAATACTACAGTTATGACCAGGTGAGTTATAACAAGACGCCCTCCGTGGTTGGGAGGGGGACTCTTACATGAAAAGATCGGGGATGCTCGTTGTCTTGCTTAGGGGTTTAAATCAAGGTGTTTTAGTCACATTTTCTGGCGAGCATCCCCGACCTTTTCACATTGAAGTCCCCCCGTGAGAAGTCATTCTGTCGGACCAATCAGATATTAGGTCCTTGTTTAGCGATGTCAATCACGCCCCCTCCCCCTCCCCCCCCAAGCAACAGGTAACTAGACAAAACGCGATTGAGAAGAACAGATCGAAAAAGAAAATTCAAAGTTTCAGCAATTTGAGCTTTTGTATACCTAAGGTTTGTTCGGGTATTTATAAATTACAAAAAAAACATTTTTTTTCAGACTTCTCTAATTTTGCGATTATACGTACTTGGAGAGCAGCCAGGAAGAGAATTAAATATTTGGCCAAGTCAACCCGGAACGAAAACAAAAAACAATAACAACAAGCTTCATTTCTCTAATTCTGTCCTCTTGACACTATTACAGATATTTACACCTATTTAAAAGAGATAGAGGAGGAGCTGGATACCTGAAATTACTTAGATAGTTAAATATAACTGAAATAACAACTGAGGACTTGTGGTCAGAAAGCAAAATTATGAGAAGAATATTTCAGGCAGAGGCGCGCGATGAGGGTTGATGAATTCCATTAAAAGTGCCTAGACTGTTTCTTTCCCTCCCCCATCAAGAACGTCTATCTCAGTCTCTGACGTTCAGTTTTGCCTGATCGTTTATTTGTGTTCTTTCTAGGTAGAGATATTCGCCACAATGCTCCAGCGTTGTCTTCCACTGTGCGTCGAAAAGAGGAATGTTCTGTCTCGTCATATTGCCGCACTCAGAGCTCGGTTTAGACTTCTTCATCTCGGCCTGTCCATGCTACAGGGAGAGTTCTTAACCAACTCTGTCATGAAAAATGTTCTACGAGAGAGGATATACTACAACGCTTTGGACTATTTTGGGTAAAATATTTGTAACAACAGAACTGTGCGTAAAGTTTACAAAATGTAACTCTGCACCTCGGCCAAAATACTCAACATCGCCTCAGTTTTTTTTTCCTTCAAAATCCGTGTAGCATCTCTAATTGGTTGTTGCTAGGCTGCGATTTTTCGCGCGCAAGCAGCAACCAATCAGAAACGCCACGCGGATCTCTGCTGAGCTGCGTCATCACTATGACATTTTCGGTTTCAATCTTACGTGGTATCGAGCTCGGGAAGAATTAAGCGCGTGAAGACAAAATTCAACTGTTTACTGATCCGTTTTGCTTGATCAAGTGCATTGCTGTTCATTGTTGTGTTATTTTCTACAGCATTGAACCCATGTGGCCTGTGAGTAAGGATACAGAGCTACGTGAAGACGTTCAAGTGTTGATCAAGTTCTGGCAGGCAATGCATTCCGACAAGAAGTACATGAAGTTCTTCATGTTAGCACCAGTACACGCTACTGGACTGTTGCCTCAAAGCTCTTCAGGAGGGTCTCAATACACTAGTGGCTCATCTGGGTTAGGGCCTTATCTGCAGGTACGTTTAACACCATCCTGTTTTTGGACATGTGCTGTGAACACGTGGGCAAGTAACATGCAGGCGGTGTAACAGGGACGCGCGTAGCTGAAGGTTTAATGTTAAAATCTCAAGAGAATTAAATGGACTTACTCGGCCTTCAAGAAGTTACTACTGCAATTTTGGCAATATAGAAACATACTATAAATGTCACTGAGCAGTAGGTTGGTACTCTTAAAGTGTTCACAAGAGCTTCTTAACGAGGGCCCTTCCTATAAGAGGACACTGAATTTATGTCCTACTCGGGACAGAACATTGTATAAGTCACTGAAGCCCCCCAATGATAAGTGTTAGTCGAGTTCAACCCTATCAAAGTCAGAATGACGTACCAGTTGCTCATGTCAGCTTTTATGTTATTTATTCTCTATTATGCTTAAACTGCTTTTACCTGTAGTTGTTTGTTGTTGTTGTTGTTGTTGTTGTTGTTTGAATGCGTTGATTCTTACGGAGCTGGCGTCGCGGGGATCCCTAGAAAAGCGCGGTGTGTGCGAGTAACACGCAAATTTCTCGCGAGTAACACACGAGTCACGCGCGGATCACCTTCTGGCGTGATTCCTGCAACATGACTTGTCTCGTAGAATACTAATCATATGATAAACGGTTAACTGCCTAACGACATTGTCACAGGTTCAAGGAAGACGCAACTCATATGGGCTTTTTGTGGCAGAAATGGTAATGAACAGCACATTGCACTGACCTGCACTGATATCTGTTAAGAAGTGTGCGTAGAGAACTCTAAGCACATACATACCGCCAGCCGCATAATACCTCATGTATGCGGCTTGACGTGACTTCTTTCATTTGTTTGCTTTGTGCTTGGGTCTCTTTACCCTCGTGAACGATAATTTGAAGGGTTATTTTAATAACTTGAAGACAAAAACGCAGTTGTAGAACTGTTTTACACTGAACAAGATGGAAAAATATGGAAAAATCAGGGAAAATTTTCTTCAGCTTTAAGCTTTCGTCTGACTATAAGACTTGTAGACTTGTCTAAGGGCGCTTCACTCCAGGGCCCAGTCGTTCAAAAGGCGAGTAACGCTATCCTACTGGATAAATTGCTCTCCAGTTGATAAGTGTTCACAAAACAAGCTATGCTATCCACTGGACAGAGATTTGTCCGGTGCGTAACGTTATCCACTCTTTGAACAACCGGGACCACAATTGTAAAAGTATACGCGACAAAGCCGATATGTATTGTAAGTAGTCGAGTAGTTCAACGTTGCTTCATGGAAACACACAGAGTTTTGGCACGAAGATAACGGAAACCCTAATTATACAGTAATCATGATTCTCCTACTGTGTTGAAATGCCAAGAACTGTGATCTTATAGCGGTGGACTACCACTACTCGTAATACTAGTCGTTGTTGTGTTCGCTTTAACACACGCTTCTGTTGGACAACTTTTCTCTGAACAGTTCTACACTCCTGGGAAGAAAGAGGACGGTGAGAGTAAAGTGCTTTGCTCGGGAACACCACGCAATGACTCAAGCAAGGTCATTAAAATTCCAAAATGTAACGGCGTTTCCTTTTTTTAATCTCTACAAGCGGTTAAACTGTATTAAGTTTAAAGTCCAGAAATGCCGCATAATTGTGATTTATCGCCTTTGGTTTCTGCTCTGTTAGGGCAACCGCTGGATGAATACAATACCGCTGTCCAGTAGTCTGTCTTCTCGGCGCTCAGCCACAGGGACGTCAACCGACAAAGAAGCCACAGGTAGCCAACATATACTGAAGGATTACTTGAAGCGGCGTAACCTCATTATAGCTTTGATACGCCGAGAGATTGAACGGCTTTCCACTTGGCATAATCCCATGGCTCGTCCAGAGCTCAGTTTTACTGGGGTGGAGTCGCTGGTGAACTGGGCTAATCAGACAGTTTTTACCGAGAGGATCTGGAGAGACCTGGTGAGGTTGGCCTGGCATATTTCACCGGATATCGCTGTATTTCTACCTGCAAGGTACGTTCACGTTTAACCCTTTCCTCCTCTTTAAAACTGGAAAAAATCTCGAATTTCGCTTCCAAAATAGTGGAAAACGAATAACAGCACGTAAATATCCGGCAATAACTTTCATTTGAATGGTCACACACTGGAATTTCATCCACAGACTTGAAAGTTAGAACCACCTTGTACAGGATAACAAACAGTACCACATGAAAGTACTGCTCAATAGGCGAATCTTTGCTAACGTCATTATTTACATTTTCCTCATTAACATACGACTTTGCGCATAGAAGGCATCATGCTAGACACGATTTTACTAGTAAAACTTAAAGAGCTTGTGAAACTTAGTAAGTGGTGAAATTTTTGGCTCTTTGGGTGTAATATTCGAGGAGAAATTGGCTTTCAAAAACATCAAAATTT